TTGTCGTTTTGGTCCCATTTGTTTGCTATGCAGTCAAATGTGTCAAAATATTGAACTACGTCCTCTTTAATTTTCCCTGAATATGGTTGGGGTTTGTGACAGTTGATTTACTGTCCATTTATGATTCAAGGTAATTTAATAATTTCTTGTAACTAAGTATTGAATTATGAATTTTATTATAGTATATTTTATAGTATTCTAATATTTTAATATTATATTTGTGATTGCTATGATTATTGTAGTATTTTAATTGTAATAATAATTGTAATATTGTAATATTGCAATTGTTACATTGCATTTATTTTGTATTCATATTTATATATAAATATGTATATATATATATATATATTTATTTATTTATTTATAGTTTATTCAGTTAACTACTTAAAAATGTCTTACAATTATCTAGATATTTGTGTTAATTATCTGAAAAATATTATAATATAAAAAAAATATAGGTTAATCAATATAAATAAAATATACCTAATATAACTAATTGTCTTTACTCGCAACGAAATTCGCTTATTTCAAACTATGCTGTTTTCTAAAAAAATTAAAAGTTCTGCGACGCCACCATAAATAAGTGGTAACAATTAAATTATTATTTATCACTGCTGGTATACGGTGTGTAATTGTGTATCCGTTGTGATAGATTTATTCCAAATAATTGAATGTGAGAGGATTTGGGTGTTCGACAGACAGCTAGTTTACCGAGTATAGTTTAATGCAGGTAAAATAAATAATTTTATTTTACCGATGACCCAACAGCAACAATACACGGAGCAAGTGATCAAACGACTAGTTTGGCAGGCATATGTCTAGCAGGCCGAACAATTATTATAATAGATTTTGTTTACTCTTCAAAATTGAAAATAGTTCTACCTATATATGGTGGGACTCCGCGATATTACGAACGAATGAAAGATGACACTCGCGTTTGTGATATATGTATAGTATAAATATTATACGTAATATTATAATTATAAAAATATGAAAAGTTTAATGGTGTTAAACACCATTACAGTTGGGTCCCAAAATAATGGATAAAATACCTACCTGATAAAAACGTATAGAATTCGAACGATAGAAAACTACAAGAGTAAATTCCATTATCCAAATGTTATTTTCCGTATAATTATGAAGATAACTACAACACCACAAAAATGCGGTTAATGGTTTTATTACATTATCGTTAAAATAATGTCGTTAGTAAGCCCAAAGTTTGTGGACATATTAGATAGGTATCTATGTGATTTACGAACCCTTTTTTTTAATGATGAAGTATTTTGATTGGAAATACATGTACTTCGAATCACTTAAACCCATATGCGTCACCACCACATAAAATAGATAAGCGTCGATAAGGTTACGGGTGGCAGAGGCATGTGCTTAAGGCAATAATTTATTATTTAGTAGAAGGGCATTTTATATATGTTTGATTTTTCTAGACGGAATGTCCATTATATAATTATTTTAAGTGTCACTGTACTTTAAATACTAAGTTGAAAAAATACAATATTTATGTGTTGAACATAAAAACAAATATGTACATGATCTGAACCATGCACATTTCAATAATAATGATCGAATAATCATTCAATAATTATTTGATAAGATATTTGATTTCTTACATAAGTGGCCAAGTGGCCGTTGTTCCTTCCAGTCAACATTATTGGGTATAAACATATTTTAATATCCAACAGCCTAGGTACGAAGAAACGTAAAATATATTAAGATATTAAAGAAATGTGAGTATTATCTGAGTCTTTAAATGTTATAAAGTTGTTGTAGTAGAATAAGGCAAAGATAGAAAGGGGAGAGATGTGTAGATAATTTGGATGAACATGGAGTGCAGGGGTAAGGGTGAAGTTTGTAATACAGAGAGAAGGTATGGTGAAACTCGCATTTGAATATTACAATATCGTATATATAGAAGGTCGGTGACCTACACGAACATCGTCGCCGAGAGTGGCTTCACGCGTCTTTCCGGGAAGAGATGGTCCTACAGTGATCCCCCGCTGTTACTAGGCCGTTTATCTCAATAAATGAGTACGTGTTTTACAATACGAGGGACGTGGGCTATGGGTATGAGTACATATGTTAGTCTTACTGAACGTCGTTCTACACGATTATTATTTTAATAGTTTTTAAAGCGGGCGTATGATTATTCTACTACTTGTATTTTGTTTGAAATGCATATGTATATATTAACTTACCTTATTCGCAGTGTGTGTTGCTATGTGGTATTTATAGTGTGTATTAGTTGTTGTTCTCTGAGTGTGGTGTTCGCTACTCGATAATATATGTATTTTGATTTATTTAAGTTATTCAATACCTAACTCTCTTTTCTAGAGTCTTATACGATTGTTTGGATATTACCTTCACAACTTTGTTTCTTATGACTGTGACTATTACCGCGAGTTCTTAAAAATCCCTACATTTGTAGTGGCTGTAATAATCGATTATCAACCGAATGCAATATAAGTTATGTAGCCCTTTAAGATTATGCAGTGTTCTAAGTAAATAATAACTACCCAATTAATGTAATTATACTTATGGCTTATAATATTCTAATAATAAATATGCTAATACTATAATATAATTATGTTATGATGCGATGATAGTCACAGGATTTTTATTATTGTTGAGTATGATAGGAAGATAAGTTGAATAAATAGATTAATAAGATGATTTAAGTTAATAATAAGAAATAATTTATAAAATTGTTATATCGAATGCTGAGATATTTCAATATATATATACACCTATACGCACAGCGACAAATACTCTCTTGAACAGTAAAAAAATTGAATCGTGATGTAGACTGGCGTGGACGTTGTGCATTGACTCTTATTGTAGAAACAACTTGATGGGTCGATTTCGAATGATCCTTATATAGAGTGATCACTGATCTGATGTAATCTCTTCTAAATATTTTAATTAAATATTATTATATTGAGATAAGTATACATTCTAATTCTAATTCACAAAATATTATCTAGTCAATGTGTTAGTACGTACGTCCAACTGAATTTAAGTATGTATAATGTGACGAAAGTCATAGTAAAAAAAAAAGTTAACACTTTGAAAAATGTTGGTAGTTTTAAATGTTTGCAAAAGTAACCTATTTGCCAACCGGCAAGGGAAATGAGCAACTTCAGTATTCAGTAGCGGATGACGGCCGCATTTCGTTCAAGACAGAAACTGCCTTCCCGAACGAGCCACACATAGGTAAGTTACCTTGGCACGCTTATGCCAGAAATTTCACAAAAAATTATATCATTAGTTAGCAAACAATTCGTCACCATTCGTAACCACAAATTCGGAATCCGTAACTTGACATTCCACTGTTAAACTGTTAAATGTGTCGTAATAAAAAAATATTAAAAGGCAAAATATTTTTAACTTGCTTGAAATAACTCATTATGACAATAACAACTAGATGTTATTGACAAGAAAAATGTACAAATAATAAATAAATATTGCAACTATATTAGAAATAGATATTAGATCCAAGGAAATATTATATAACTTGGCAGTTGGTCTGTTAGTACTAGTAATTATATACCACTGATTAATATGTACTCGTTTTGTTATGAGAGACTAAAATCCAAAAGAGCCCAAAAATATTGTTGAAACCCTCCAAATGTAGGTCTGCGCATGCCTATGGACTTGGAAATAATAGTTAATGATTTTTTCTGAACGTAAATCATGCTTTTTACATATTTAACTTACGTTAACATATGCTAACTTAATGAGTACCTACTTATACAAATAAGAATGTTTAAAAATGTACAAGAAATCTGTCTTATGAAAAGTGTGACCGGGGTTATTTACCCCCGTTATATTTTAATCCGTGGTAAATTATTTCTAGTCAAATTTTAAATAGGAATATTTTACAGGGAGGTAAATATTCTCCAGTGAAATTTTAACCTACGGTAAAATTTCACTAAAAAATATTTACTTCCTATATATTTTTTACCAGCTATACAATTTCACTAGAGATAGTTTACCGCCCCGTTTGTCTTTTATGAAATATTTTTGGTTGAAATAGTTGAACAGTTCAGCTAAATACCAAACAAATCAGATTAATCTACCGATAGAGAACACGTCATGTGACACAGATTGATCATTTCCATTTTTTATGTATTCTTTATATTCTAAAGCTTAAAATATTACAATGTGTCTTACAAATAATTGTTTAATCAAAAAATATATATATAAAAAAATTTAAAAAAAAAATGTTTTCCCCTGTTTTTGTCAAATAAAACATGGTAACCCTATTATACACTATCTAACGCAACTAAAACATAAAAGCTACGTTACTTAAAAAACATTAAGCAATCGACATTCCTTAGCATCTACATTACGATTAAAATACGAAGACGACGCCCTACTAAGCTATTAACATTCTTCACCGTCTACGTACGCACTAAAACATACCCGTATTTGGGCGTAAAGAAACGACTCGATAAAAAAAAGATTTAGGAACAACAGAACATTATGACGTAATAAAAATTCATTCCCAACAAGAAACAGCCTACATACATGCTACAAACTATACATTATTAAACATACAAAAGAATAATGTAAAATATTATATTCCCTGTACTTAATACTAATCATGTATGACTTACACCCCAATCTCAAATATTATGTACTATAAAATTCATAACTTACACGTGTCTCACAAACAACTTTTACTTGAGCTATGGAAATATCATTGCTAAAATTGTATACAAAGGAATAATAACAATAGCATCACATGAACACATAACCCAACACTACTACAAACAACATTCCCGTCGTGTAAATTATGCAAAAACAAACAACATCATTCAAAACACAAGACAAGTGCATGCAGATATACGAATCACGTGGCAAATGCAAAAAATCAATTCTAATGTGACGCAACAAAAATTAAGTAGGGATAATACATTCACTACGCTTTATAAGGACAACGCTCAGCCAACTATGGCACAGTGCAGTAGCATGTCCAGGTATTTTTTTGCGGGGATAAGGAAATTAAAATTCACTATTTACAAATTTTATTTGAAAATTATTTATTAATGGAAGCTCACTTATCCTGGATACGCCACCGGCTCAATAAATCACTACAAAATACATAGTTTACAACGTCGCTAACAATTAACCTACGTACACCGCTCTCTTCTCTTTTTCATTGAACTTAGTTCTTTTCACAAGTAAACTTCACTATTCCGTTGATTTTAACATCAGGTATGAATTTATATTTTTATATTCATCTTATTCTTTACTAACACAAACTCACATGTTGATCATAACACTTTCTAAACTATCTTTAATAATAATACCACATAGTCTAGCGACTATGTTCTTAGATTTTCTCCCAAACTGGCACCAATATTTCACAGTACTTTAACTAGAACCGGAACTTATTTTAGTAAGTAAAAAGTTTTCCGGTTTTCTTAGGGTTTTATCGGTTCTAAAAACCAACCACCATTTTATTGTTATTTTGAAATCTAATAATTATTTTTCATAAAAATATATTTATTTTATGTATTTATGGTATTTTTTACTTAAATTAATCTATTATACGACCTACACTAGCTGTAAGTCTTACATTATTTACAAGCATACAGGTTGCATTTTAATTTGCAATTGAACGAGAATAATCAAACAAAAATGATGTGTTTTTCTACGAATGTTTACGCAATACCTATAAATAATAAAAAAATAATTATTGGTTATTTATAACTCCTTCCTAATAATCAATAATTTTTGATAATTTTTGAAAATATGCATTTTTAAGAATCTGCAAAAGTACCGGAATTAACCGGAACCAGAGCCTTTTTTTTTGTACTTTTAAGAACCCGAACCCATTGTATTTAAGTATTTTATTATATATTTATATTTCTGTGACATACTCATAACTCTTACACCACTACATCCAGGTGTCAGGCTTCCAATAATTATAGTAGTTTCATAATGTACTTATTTTGTAAATTTTAAAATTAATATTACTTGCTTCAAAATTAAAATATCAATAAAAGTCTGAGATATCTACGGACCCAGGGCCAGATAATAATATATTACCTATACATTTTATTATAAGTCAGTACACATGAATTTTAAAATTGACAAAATAAAATGGATTATTATAAAAGTAAAATTTGCCATGTAGTACTTAATAAGCTTGAGACAACTTTTACTTGTGGGTGTTGCACGCGCTTAACAACATCTAATATGTTCTGTGTACAAACTTTTAGGTGTTCAAATTAACGTAAGAAAATCTTTATTTCAGTAATACGAGTACATAAGCTATCAGATGGTCGCTAACATGTTTAGGCAGGCCTTTATGGCTTTACAAATCTATTGGACTAGTCAAATAATAGAACAGTTTGTTTCCGCGGATGTTAGGTAAGTTAACTCCTATATCATATAATTATAAACTACGATAAAGTGTTTTCTCTTAAATATATTTCCGGAATATATGTAAAGAAACTATAAATGTTCTGTTAAATTTGTAAGAACTTGTATCTTTTAATGTATTCTTATTCTCCACCACACTACACTTGTTGTATACCATTTGATTATGTTCCAGGTACTTACAGAAAAAGATTCATTATTATTGACAAATATGGGTTGATAATATAATATACGTACTAATTACATAAACATATAAGTTAAATATTCGTTTGATTGATACAAAATTTCATTTTCATAGTAGAAGAACAATTTTTTTAATTTTCATAGATCTCCAATATTGAATTTTTACACAAATTAAACGAGGTGTTTTTGATAGGTTTCACAGAACTACTTTTTTGCATAAGGTTTACTATGTTATGAATCTTTTTAAAATAAAAAAAAGTGTAAATTTTTTTTATACATACTTAAATTTTTTTAATGCCAATATTTATTTAAATTTTTAATCATTTATACGACAGGAATCGAAAATTAAATCTAACATAAAAAAATTGTATTTTTACTAGGAGGGGCTAATGTGGTGCTTTGATAATACATTGTCAATATTTGGCTTCATTAACGAATTCTAATTTTAACTTTTTAACTTAACTAGTTACTTATGCATTTTTATTAACATAACCTTAAATCTACTTGTAATTTTCAATCGGTTTCATTGTTTTGTTTAAAGACTGAGTTAAAGCCTCTTACTATAAGGTATGATAACGGAAAAGCCACTATCAACTTTCTTGCTATATTCCTGAACTGCTGATATCTATTTCTAAATTCCACTCTAAATAAAATATACGATGGAATGTGCACCACGTAATTTTATCTTAACATTTCGATATCTGCAGTCTATTCGTTGGTCTACAGCTTCATCTATCGCAGTAGTAACTTTTTGACTCTCGACCCAATTTTTCACCATACATTTTATGCGACCCATGTCAGCTTTGTTAAACAAAAAAAAGTACAAATTGATTAATGTCTTACCATTCTATTGTAGAAGTGCTTATATCAGTTTATAAGTTATAAAATAAAAAATTTAATTTTTCTAAGTAATATTTAATTATGTATTTTATGATACAACGGATGTCAACTATGAACACAATGACAACAGCAGTAATTTATAAAAAATAATCTATAAAATGTATCGATAAATAACCGGATCTTTTATCGATCAAGGCTAAGTGCATGCTAGCATTATTTTAACGCTCGACAACACTGTGGCTTTAAGTACCATTCTTTTCTTCTACAAATATAAAATAGTATGGATTACTCAAAAATTATTTTATCCAATGTCATATGAAATAATTTTTTTTATGTCATACCTAACATACATAATAGGTATAAATATGGAGTTTTTAAATTTTAAACACTAGATTACGACAGTTCTCGGGACCCATAATTTTAAGACCACTGATCTATCGTACTATGATAAGCAAATTATACTGCTGTGTTCGTAAAAATTATGATACATGCGTTACTACTTAATAATTTTCGAGGACCCTTATTTTAATTTTATGCACATACAATTTTTTTCGTTGACAGGTTCCCGGGCAGATCAGAATTGACCTCAGAGATTAAATTTGGTCCCAAATGACCTTTCCTTAACTCAGTAAGTTGAGTCTCGGTAAAAAAAACTTGTAGGTATATTGAGTCTTGTTTTTAAATATAATTTAATCATTTTTATTAGAATTCAAATTTTATGTATACATTTAGTACCTATGAATTAAAATGTATGTTTTATTATATTTTGCTCTCGATTAAACTTAAATGATAAGGATATAGTATATTTTTCTGGGATCCAACTTACGTACTACATTTATTTAACCCGGGACATAACTTACCGCTTTCAAAATGTACACAAATTATAGTGCATCCAATTTACTTAGCCCTCGACGTATATACCACTTTGGGAACCTTCGGCCTATAGCCAATAAAGGGTTTATTGGTCACCACATACAAGTGTGTGGTATTACCAATCCCCACCTATTCACTACTTTCTTTATCTCTAGCAACATGATATAAGTAAGAAGGTAGAACCCGCGCCAGGACTATGCCATACAACAAATGATCACAATACAGTTTAGCTGCAGTGCTCGTACAACTACTGTTACTCTTCTACCAGATCAAGCGAACCATCGACTATATCTTATACAGACATCGTATCTCTAAAAAGGTATGTTATATTTATCCACTATCAACAGACTACTAATAGTTAGAAAATTTTATGGATCAAATTTAACATTACATTAATTCAAGATTTGTATGTCTATTTAAGAAAAAAATAATAATAATCGTCATTGATCTGAAATAAATATTTTTATTCAATTAAGTATCTATTTTTTTTTTAATAAAATATTTATTATAATTAAAAAATGAAGATTCACATTAATTAGTCGTATAGTTATCTACTTATGAAAATTCTGATGGAAAATTATAGTTAAGTCAGTTATTATCTTTTAACCAGTGTTAAATTATTATTGTGTATCTACAATAAAAGAATGCTGTAGGAAATATATATACCAAATATTCGTTCTATAATTTAACCTAGCAATCGCACACAAATTGTGTAAGTATAGTACAATAATGTAGTACAATATTTTGATATCCTGTATGATATTTTTTTCTTACTTAGCTATTAGTTTATTCTATAAGTAATAAATTGAAAAATATTACTCAACACTAAAACAATTTTAATACATTACTGCAATCTCTCAAAACAAAGCCAAACTCAAATCATTAAATTATCTCATAAAAATTACACTATTGTGATTGATGGATGATTTAACAGTAGAACTATGTAGTTAATGTAATAACTAATAATCAGAATCAGTAAGAAAGTACTTACCTAATATGATATTATATTAAGAGAATAAATAAATTATAACTAATGAGAGTTTCATGACACTTGACAATGTAATTAAAAAAAATCAAAAAAATCTGGTTCACCAATACTTTTTCATTTTATAAGTCTTCGATCATATTACTTCTTACCAATTGGAAATAGTCTGTTATTTGTGCTATATTTGTGTGATTAAAATATATTTATAACATGTCAATTAATCTTTATTACTTACAAATAAATTCAACAACGATTATGATCAATACGTATTTATTTTATTCTGCATTGTAGGTAATTGAATACATTATACTTATAGATCATGTATTGTATGTTGTATATTTCAGATAATAATGAAGTTCAATTTGATTTTATTGGTACTGTGCATGGCCTTCATTGTGGAGTCTCTCGGTGATGAACATCCGTACTGGGATAAAAAAGTACGTTTTTGTGGATCAATTCTCGGAGATGAGCTCTCAATTATCTGTAAAGGCGTTTACAATGAACATCAAAGTAAATATAATTATCTATACTTTTTACCATCTAATTATCAATCACAACAGTATCGTCATTCGTCGAAATTAAATCATAAAAACTTTTTCAATTATAAAATCAATGAAAACAAATATAATATATTGCATTCGATATACGTAGGTACCTATCACACAAGCAGTTAGTTGTGGAGGTTCATGATTCTTCTTCTTTTATTAGTTAGAACAATGAGCATTTTATAATATTTAAAAAACAAGAATTTCATTATCTAACTGTTAGATTATGATATGGGTTGTTGACATGGCAGTCCTGAACAACAATTAATGCGAGGGAAGGGGGGGGGGGGCTGACTCAATTTTATTTTCACCAACTGTTATTAATAATGTATGATGTACATATAAGTGTTTAGTTTATGCATACATTATAATATATATATGTCAAATCTAGATTTATGTAGCCGACTATTCTTTATAATTTTTGATTTGCTCATGTGTAGATAAAAATATATCAGATAGATAGATACATTAAAAAGCTATAACTCTTAAATCAAATATTTCCCAAATTTTTACAGGGCCCCCTACCCCTCACTTTCAACAGCCCTGGTTGCTGAAAAGCTAGCTTCTTGCACTCTCAGAGGCTATGTAATTTACGGCAATCTCTTCAAAGTCCAACCTTAAAAAATAATTAACTATTGTTTTCTATTATGTATTGACGTATTTTATAAATTAGATAGGAAACTTTCATTAATGTTTCGTAATACCCAACTTCACTCAGGGAAGTTTTTTAAAAATTTATCTCATTTTATTTTTATGAAAAAGTATTGCCATTAGTGTATTAAATACCGATTTTTAATTTTGTTAAAATTATGTTACTGCGCAGATGGCACATCTAGTGAAATCCCATTTTCATATTTTACCCACTTTAATAGGAATTTAATATATTATATTGATAGGTACAACAATTTTTTTTGTACGTCTAAGTGAAAATAACTTTCCAATAATATATGCATTTATATCCTACTATGTATATACATATGCAGAGAAATTGGTACAATTTTGGTTCAACTTTGATTGTAATTTTGAATTTTTCTATCTCAAATAATTATCAAAAGAATTCGAATGCAAAAAAATTTGCGATGATGTCTAACACATTTTTATACTACTATACTACAGTTATATTACATAATTAGCCCGCAACTACCTTTTTTAGCTACTGTTGTACATATACATAACAAAATTATAAAAAATTAAAACAATGATGCAAAATTGAATAAAGCCGAATCAGCAAAATTGCTACCACTACATAAGGCGACGTCTGCGACGGGAGCGGGGCTGTTCAGTTTTTGGATCACTCATTGTCGAGGCTAACAAGCAGTTTTTTTTGACGTTTCTTTTTATTATTTGTTTTTGATATTCTTTAATATATTATATTTAATTCCTTTAACCAAGTGTTACTGTTTTATTTACGACTATTTTAGAATATTTTATCCTGAGTGTAAAGAGGCGTTGGCGGTGGAAAAACACTTTTGAAAAAGATATTAAGACACTGTAATACTTACTTTCTCGTCCAGTACTCGTTATCGTGGTCAGTCGAGAAAGAGTAAGACTTTGCCTAGGTTAAAGACATCTCACTCTCAAACATCCAGTACTCGTTATCGTGGTCAGTTGTTAGAGAGTAAAGTAACTTTAGAGTAGTATTGTGTAAAACCTGTTTGGACCTAGTTTAATTATCTTTTGTGCAGTACTCGTCATCGTGGTCACCAAAAGAATAATTTAAATAAAGTTCATACAGCAGGTATCGATAATTTACTTGCTTGACGGTTAGAGAATCGGAAACCGAAAGATATCTGTTGTGTACGTCAAGCCTTTGCGTGGCGTATACGACACTACTCTCAGTAAATTTTACTTTGTAATAGTAATCACATTAAAATTGAATAAAATATAGTTTCAAGATGTCTGGTCATGTATAAATGGTAATCTAATAATCGAGTAAGCTCTTAGTAGGTATATTATATAGTGTGTAGTTAGGTTTATCAAATTCATAACAATTTTCATTTTGACTAATGATTTACCTTCAATTTCAGGTTACTCTTCCAAACCTAAAAGGAATGTCGCTGATGAATGTTGTAAAACAGCGTGCACCAGAAGATATTTGAAAGTAAATTATTGCGGACCTGATCCGGAAACGTACGTAATTTATCTTAACATTTTAATGATCCTGTGATTAATGATTATGATTAGATACCTCAAATTTTGAAATTAAATCCACTATTCAATAAAATTTATAAAATTACGATAATTTCATAAATAAGTCCAAAGTAACAAACTTAAGACTAATTGAAGTTCAAACCTAATTGTAATGAAAAAACCATCTAAGATTTTGCTACTTTTCAATTTGTCGATATAATTTTTTCAGTAATTAATTAACTTGTTTAAATTACAGGACTACAATTATGACAGCGGATACAACACCTCAACCAGAAGTAATGTTTTATCTTAATTATTTTGATTATTATATGGATTTAAGTTAGTATACCTACTTAAAATACGTCATTGGAGGATTGTTGCTGAGGTTTATGATTGTATTTGAATCCCATAGATAGGTCTTTGTCGAAATATTGTTGGGTACTTAGATGTTGTGTATTATTGTTATTTATTCCTAACATATTTATTCATAAACCGCCAAATGGTTTACTTTTAATAATACAAATAATTGTTTTTTTAAAATCTTTTTATAAGTACCTCATTCTCAAATTAAGGATTACTAATTTAACTTAAGTTTTTTCTCGAATCCAACAAAATGAATTTTGACCTTTCCCGTTTATGTTTTAAATTCAATATATTAGTTATGCTTATAATATTATATTAGGTATTTATAATTAAAAATAAACTAGAAATATAAAACTTGAAACATACCTTCTAGCTGGTAGAATCTGATAAACTGCTGCCCTTGTGGTAGAATCTTTAAAACTTCTTGTACTCATGGGATTTGGATGCTTTTTTTATGAATAAAAATAAGGTGTGGAAGAATCGATGATATTTTTTCCATTTTTTCACACTAAATGGTTGAATTAAATCAACTGTAAATAAACGAGTCTTAACAGCTTATGTTCCTAAATATCAATAAAATCCATCCACTATAACCGTATCAATGAGTAGTGAGTACACTTGGATTGTACCCAAACTCACCAACTAAAATTGATTTAATAACTTGTTTTAATCTTGCAGTTGTACCAATAATACAATCTCGGCCAGCGGATGAGTAGCCAGTACACCAATCAACTGTCAACATGCTACTGCAGCTTCAACATTTTTCAATCTCATTTAATGATTATATTAAAAATATATTTATAGATGAACTGTCTCAACCTATCATCTCCGTATTGTATTTTTCAGTTGTAAACAGTATATTGTATTTCATTAATAGTGCAAAATAAATTATAATAATATATGAAACAAATACTTAAACTAGTGCTTATTTTTAGGCAATAATATGTAAGTACAAATACCATATTATTTTGTATTTCCATGTAGTTTTAATAACCAACTTCCCGAGCTGAATTATGTACAACTAGCTGATACAGCGCCCTTCGTTGTCCGTTAAAAATGCCAACTTTGTGTGAGATTCGCTTGTAATAATGCGAACAGTTTATTATCAGGTAGTCACATCTGTGGTGGATTGAGGACGCCTCTAGTAGCATACTCTATAACGGTGGTGAGCAACCATTTTTGATCCGCTCCTCCCAAAATTATTTATTTTGGTAATACCCTACCCCCCTTCCTAACAACACTATGTAAGTGTATAATATATGTTTACTTCATATAGTCTTAATGTATACAAACATATTATTAATATAAATTAAATCGTTAATTTTAATATTTCTTTAATTTAATTAATCCAAAACATGAAAAAAAAAATACAAAATTAGAGTTATATAAAATATAAAATAAAAAAAAATTAAAATTATATTATAATGATAATCAATATTTTAATATTTTTTAAATTATAAAATTACTAATAAATTATTTTAATGAGAAGCCTATAACATAAAATATTTAGTACATAACTTTTTCATTTGGTGTAAAATTATTAGCGACCCCCTAGTAAACTTTCGTGATCCCCTTAGGGGTCTCAACTCCCAGGTTGCGCAAAACTGCTCTATATGAATAATATGTTTTATATTATATTTTTGATTTTGGACAGGCCGATGAGCGACTATAAATGCAACTCAGCCACCTTGGTATTCAATGTGCGAAAATTCAATTTGATGCATGTGTTTTCCTGATCTGCCGATTAACAAATGACAACCCAAAATTAAAAATAAATACTAATTTCTACTCAAAAATTAAGAAAGTTGCTTAGAATATTAGTTATTAATTAAAATAGATGAGCAAATTAAAAATATTCAGGCAAGGATTGAACCGGTGAACTACTGAGAAAATCTCGGTAAGCCGCATAAAAATAATGTATTGTGTTAAAATATATATACATATTTACATCTAATTACATAAATACATATATATCTAAAAGCAAATCAAATTTTAAAATTATAAAGTCATAATAAATTGATTAAAAACAATTACTCATCCTAATTTCAAGATGACTGATTAGTATAAATGAAATGTGTAAAAATAACATACATCTAGTTCTAAACTTTTATTTTACGTTTTTTTAATAATTTAGCTGAAGTACGAGTATACTAAGTAACTTAATTTAATGTATTGGATGATTTGTACATTTGCTTTAAAGAAACAATTATGAATTAAAACATGCTAAAATTGTGATCTCAATTTTTTTTTTGTCAAATGATCCGATACTTAGTTGAGGTCTGGTAGAAATTTAAAATCTCGGTTGGCTTAAAAGTCTCAATTTGGAGCTGCACATATTGTACAGCAATGAGAACGCCCGGAGTACCAGCAACCTGCAACCTTACATTTTTGTTCGTCAAATTATGTGTTTGACTTATTCTTGTATATCTTTGACTTGCAGCATTGCGAGTTTTACAATTTAAGTTTGTTAAAAATATTAAGCGTGATTGGTTTGAACTAACCATGATGAACAAACACTTATCAAGAACTCACTGTACAATTTTTCATTAATTTTCCAATTGATTGGCTGTGATATGTGCACTGAGAAATGATAAATTAACTGTTGTATATCATAGATAGAAGATAGATGTATCTGTTTTAAACGATAAGTGATAAGCGTGATGCCTTGATTAAGGGAAATAGGGATTCATTTGTATATGTATAGATAGATAATGAATGATTACGAATCAGGAGGACACATTCCTTTATACATATAATACACACAGATAGATTATAATTATAATTTATTAACAAATATCGTAGTCCGTGTCTATTTTTAATAGTCATCTCATCATCTAGAAATCACAAAATTACGAAATCATAATTTATATTTTTTTTCTCAACGGCTATACTATCCCTGTGACCATAATATTTTAATTATTTTACTCTAACGATTAGAGTTAACTTATAACTTTAACTTATAACTTTTGGTATTTGGTATTTTCTTAGACAATGTACTACTGTACATTAATAAACCAAGTTTGGTCTAAAACAAATGTTGTGTACCCCTATCAGGAATTTATATTTTCTTATAAATAATATAAATAATTTTTTTAAATTGTTTTTTAGCTTAACAATTTCGAGGACCTCAACCTTTAATAAAAATTATGTTTTTTTTTTTAGTGGGGAAATCGTTCCCCATAAACTTCAAGTATAAAAATAAGATGTGTAAGTTTCTAATCGGTAAAAAAAAAAATAAAATTATGTAAAATTATATTTCATTTTCATATATTTTTTGTTGAATTCAGGGACCTAATGTGATTTCAAATTTTATATGACACTATAAGTTCAAAAAGCAGAATACATTAATTCATTAGTTATTTACAATCTAATGTAATATTAAAATATTATTTTATATGGTTTATATACATTTTAATACTTGTGGTTTATTATTTATTCATGATTAATTTCGTAATTTTGATGGAGTCTAGTGTTGATGATTTAAATATTTCTTGAAACGTAATGTAATACTCGTGTAGCGTTATGCTGTAAGTTGATGGTCATTATACTCTCAACTATGAATAAATGATCAACAAGTTTTCTGTTGAAATGATATATTTTGACGATTTTTTAGTCATTAAATTTGTAACTTTTCATTTATACACTTGACAATACGAAAAATAGAAGAAACAATAATTTTCTCTGTGGGTATTAAAAAAGTATTTTTAATAATTGAACAAAATAACCAATAGTGGTCTCTTCATAAATATTTTATAAACGCATAATTTTCAAATTTATGTCCTAAGTACAAAAAGGTGAACATAAAATGTTGATAAGAAAAAACAAATTTTGTTACTGGAAAAAAGTAGTGCAAAGTTACTATAATTAATATTTAATAAGTAGATACATAATTATTTATTTTTGTCTTTAAAAATCACATAAAAAATTTTAATTAGCCACTTTGTGGACGAGTTTCACTGGCGCGTTTGCTCGGCTGCGGGACGGCCTTGGCCAGCCGCAGGACAGGCAGTGAGAACGTTTTACAACCTTAGAGCTGGTCAGTGGTCTTAAGTTTGCATATTTGAGACAATTCGCCATATCGTATCCTTCTCTCCTTGTATCCTGTCTGATATATATTTTTTTATATTTTGTTTGCCACCCCCCCCCCCCCTTTGGCTGTAAAAACCCCTTACACAAACAATTTTAATATTAGCAACTTTGACATCATTTTTAAAAATAACTTATCTTGTTTTATTTTAAATTCTTTGTTGCTCAATATATCAAGAGCGTTTTCCGATGAGCAACCATCCACAGATCACAGTAGCTTAACCCCCCTAGGACCAAAGAGGTCGACATGATGACAATGATGCAAAAGTAGGGAGGACACGTGAAAGAGCATGAAAGGTGCCCAGTGGTAAGTCACAAACCCGTGTTCTCCTAGCACCCACTGCCATTGCACGACGGGTTTGTTGGAGTAGCCTGCTCTGTTATCGTTGACAAGAGAGCCTTCAGCCACTCTAAATCGTCTGGCTTTTAACATAAATAACATTGCCAACTGCCAAATATAATTTTTGCGCATAGACGAATCCATAAGACCATCAAATTGCATATCGACATCTCAATCTAGAAGGCATAGATACAATCATAGGTAGTACTACATGAGGGGGGGGGGGGTGGCAGAGTAGGCAACTGCCCATCCTGCGGACAGTACCTGTATTAATATATTATAGTTCCTTGAATCTCGATTTCCTAACTCCAAAAAAATATGTTTTTATTGTATTTTTAATACGAAATTTGTAGCTGTAATATACACGGACTCACAAGCATGAATAATGAATCGCAGAAAAAAATCACTGAGAAAAAGGCCAGAGAAAAAAAGCCCAAAAATTAAATATAAATATGAACACATATTACATATGTACCTATTGTACCTATACAATATACTAATGTCTCATACTCTTAATTATTAACTACCTATAATGTTTACGCTGTCGAGCTCTTGCGAACAGTTGACCCGACAACTCGCACCGTACAACGGTTGTTACCACTTACAATATTAATAAGTAAAAAACAATAATAATACCATGTATAAATTGTTACTACAGAATATTGTATTGATCGTTACAAATAAACAAGAATAATAATACAATTATACTAATGAGGACGTCTCCTGCTAATAATAATTAAATAATACGAAAAAGGGTAATACAAAATACACAAAATATAATAATATAATATACAAAAAATAAATCGAAACCGAACTTATCACTGCTCCAGTACTTATTAATTGTTGTACCGGGACGCGCTAATGAACAGCTGACGGAGCGGCCGTTGACCTATATTTGTCGTATTTATAAACACGGCCGACGTTCGCGGTGGCAGCGAGTGACCATGGTGGCGGCGGAGAGTGGCGGTATGAACGCCAACTTATGCAGCGGCGGAAAGTGACGGAGTCGACGCCGGCCTATGTGCACCTTTAATTTACCCACGATACTAGTCGCACCCGACGAATCACTCACCTGAATTGCACACGACGACGCACACGGTATGAATGGTATGATGTGTCCAGCGATGGGAGAAAATGTCAATTCGACGAACTGTGCAAACGAAACTTGTTTTTTCGTATTGCTGCTGTGGGTTTCAGCGACGTCGTAGGACGCGCGACGCAAAAGCTTATAGATACCACAACACTACAGCAGCTTTCGGCAGACTGACTCGTTGTTTCGTACACAGGCTTGACCAGCAAAAAGGCCGGCCGGTGATAACGGGCAATGCGCGACAATGATCGATAATGAGCGATAATGCGCTATATCGGCAAGTTCTAGAACATTCCTCGTTCGCCACGCGCCCACGCAGACCGGTTCGGGGAAAAAAGGCGGAGGTTTGAATATATAACAAAATATAATCTATATACATATAATGGAAAGTTACATTAGCAATAATCAAAGCATTGCCGAACCTATTTGAGTTATCGGATTGAAATGTTGAGGATGGATTAGGTCAAGTTCCACTAAGAAAGGATTTTTCAAAATTTTGATTTTAAAGGGTTGAAATCTGCCAAAATAAATTGTTTAAGTACAAATTGTATATCTAAATACATATTATTTTACAGCACGGCGACCTGTGGGTTTTCATAGCGACATGCAACCATTTCTTTTTGTCCGTCTATGTGTTTGATTGGCGTGTAGATATGAATTGTTCCGAGAAGTAAAATTCTACAATCTATATATATATATCTAAATATCTAAATAAAATTCCTATTTCCAATAGTCGAGGCATCACGCTTATCATTCATCATTTAAAACAGATCCATCTATCTTTTATCTATGATATCAAACAATAAATTTATAATTTCTTAGTGCTCATTAGTCATTTCACAGTGGAATCAACCGGAAGATTAATGGACAATTTTACAGTGAGTTTTTTGATAAGTATTTGTTCATCATGGTTAGTTTCAGCAATCATGCTTAAAATGTTAAACAAACTTAGTCACTCGGGGGCCGCTGTGCCATACGATATGTGTCAGTGGAGTGTAACATAGGGTACAAGTGTTGTTTACTCAGACAACACCTTAAATATGAGTGGATTGGTATTGATAGAAGAAAAATACGACATTTTATAGGTCGGTACAACAGCAGTGTAATGAAGGGTAGATCACCTAAAATTATTTGAGCAACACCTATTTTTTAATGATACACACCATTGATATGTATACAATTTGCACATTTATTTTAATTAATAACTACTTTTCGGCGCTATTTTCTTAATGTTTTAGTAGAACTTGGTATTTTTTATTTTTTTTCAATTGGTTAATCGGTCAGATCAGGTTTAAGAATGCATCAATTTGAATTTTAGTAAATTGCCTACCAAAGTGGCTGTCGGCTGAGTTACACTTATAGCCGCCCATCGACATAATTAACATAAATAATTAATAAAATTAAACATATTATCCATATAGAGTGTTCACCTAGCGGATTCAGCAATCTACCGCAAGTAGATAGCCTACCTGACAATATACTGCTCACATTATCACATGCGAGTCTCATATAGAGTTTGCATTTTTAAAGGGCAACGAAGTGCAAGGAATCAGCTAGAAAAGATATAAAAATGATATAATAGATCTTTGTTTCGACACGACACTACGGCAGTTAATTTGTCTACTGACTATCGTACGTAGCAACGGCTGCAACCGCTATATTTATGAAGTAGGTTTACTTGAACTACAAACTAACATAACATTTTTATCGAGTTGAATGGAAAACACCGAATAGCTCAATTATACAAATCGAAAAATAATAATACTTTTCTTATAGATATGCGATAAACGCGTTTAACTATACAAATTATAATTATAACTATTAAATTATTTTTTAATAACAATATGTGTAATAGATTTATTAGAATCATTTGTAAATATTTTTATAATTATTAATTTTTTTTATTTTTTTTTTATTTTTTTCAGCTACTACTACTATTTAGCACTAAGTTGATAGCATTAAGTAAAATACATTTTTTTATTCTGTAAAACACAAAAATGTGTGTTGATTCAATTAATTTAATTTTGAGAAAGCGAAAACCACACACGGGCGAAGCCTAATTCAGCTAATTAAACAAAAAAAAATTAATTATATATTTGTTTTAAAACTGTTATAAGTAGTTACCTACTGAATTATCTTTCAATTGAACTTATAAAATCTAAGATATCTATATACATATAGAAACAGCCCTTACTCGCTCATCAACACCCAGATCAAACTGCTACGTCTAGACACTTGACATTTTGTACAGAGGTTCCTTAGGCAATGTAGGGGCGCATTAAGAAAGGATTTTTCAAAATTAGACATAGAAGGGGGTAAAAGGAGTTTTTTATATAGCTATATAATTCACGAGCAACGCCATGACGGGACAGCTAATATTTTATAATGACAACAATATCATAAATTATTATCATGCGTAATTTTTACATAAATGTAGTGTATGTGTACCTAAGATGTTATACTTATACCTCTGATGTTTTTTACTTATAACTTAACACTGTATATTATGTTTATAGATGAGTTCAAATTTATACTTATATTTGTTTTTTATTAAAAGTTGTTTTTACATTTAATTAATAGTTATGCATATTATTATATTAAGCCCATATTCAAAAATAAAATGATTTATATTTGAAATTTTTCATTAAATAAATAGGCAGTAAAAATGTCTTATTAATTGAGTCTTCACTTATAAAATTGCCTATTTATTGGCTATAATAATTCATAATTTATTAATTACAAATTAAAAGTAGAGTATATGTGTTCACATTTATATTTAATTTTTTTTTTTGGCTTTTTTTCCTTGGCGTGTTTATTATTTTGTTTTTTTTTTCTTGGATTTTTTCCCTAGACTTTTTTCTGCCTAACACATTAATTGTATTAAATAATTTGGTTAACAACAATGATCCAGATGATCAAGGACGTATGGAGTTATAAGATAATTAAATAAATAAAAAAAATTTTTTTCTTTTTAAATACTATTTAGTTACAATGTCATGAGTAAAATGCATGTTATTTTGTTCAATAGCAGGTATTAGGCACTAGCCTAAAAATGTGAAGTAATTTAGTAATATAAACAGTTAAAATACTTCCCCCCCCCCGTGTGTGTTAAGAGGGTCTAGTATCACCTATTGATACGATATAATTTCCAAGAAACGAAAATTCCAGAGTTTTAATAATTATATATATCAACATGTCATTTTTGTATAGATCTTATAAATTTCATTTTGGATGTATTAGATACTTAAAAAAATCATGATGATTTTAGTTATTTTGTTGTAATTTAAAATTATTATTCGTACATATTTTTGTTTTCCTAGTTAACTTACAGGAGGCTCTGTGTGAACAAAACTATTCTTCAATTTGTATATACTTAAGCATTTTAAAGTAGGCACATTATTATATTGTAGGTACATTTTCAATGACATTTTCAAATGCAATTATAAGGCGAAAATTAAATTAATTCTACCTACTGTACTACTATAATATCTAATAATAAAGTCAATTAATTTAATAGCAATAATATCATGAAATATCCTTAGTAGGTACCTTTCCAATAAGGTTAACAGACCGTATTTGCGCACAATCATTTTTCTAATACAATAATTTTAGTAAAGAATTCAGAGAAGGTATATAATAAATTGGTAGTTAATAAAAAAAAAAAACATTTAGATTAAGCAAATATTTTAAGCAACATATCAATCAATAAATAAAATTGGGTTTACTGTTATTCAAAAATGAATGTAATTTTAGTTTTTTTCTAAGTGAAAAGTTTCTTAAAATGTTCTACAAACATCATATTTCAGATGACTTTATCTGAATTTGATTATGAAACCAACCAAATATGCTCCAATTGCCTCCCAAGACCGTCCACTACATTTTTTTTTTGTTCCAATTACGTAAAAGAAATCCCCAACAATAAATATTATGATTTTTTTTTTTTAATTACATTTTGTGATTTAATTTAAGTAACTGTATTATTATTAATCTAACATATTCATAGAATGTAAATTACATACTAATAGATAATTCATATTCATATTTAGCAAATATTAGCAAGAATGTATTTTTAAATATTATGTAAATTAATTTTATTGTAATAAAATCAATTTAAACCGAATAGTTTACATCAGTTAACTTAATCATATTTGAATACTGAGTTTTAAATACCACCCTGTTCCTATTATTATTGTTCAAAATTGATATTAAAACTATATGGAAATAACAAATATAAAATAATATGGTATTTGAACTAACATATTATTACCTAAAAATAAGTACTCGTTTAGTATTTGCTGCATATTTTATTATTGTTTTATTTTGAGTGATTAATAAAATAGTATATAATGTTAAGAATTATTTGTTTAATATTGAAAAATTAAATTTGTTGATAAGTACAAACAGCTCATTTTAATAAATTTATAATTTAATCATCATATAAGATTGAAACATTATGAAGCTGCAGTACCATGTTGACATATTGTTGGCGTACAGACTACTCCTCCGGTGGTGGAGTTTCTAATACAATCCAATCTGTAAAATTAAAATAAATTAATAAATCAACTTTCAGTTGTTGAATTTGGGTATAATTCAAGTGTATTCATTGCTCTGAGTATAAGGGATGGGTAATATAAAAGTTTAGGAATATTAGTGGTTGAGACTCTTTTAGTGTCTGGTGAAAAAATGAGATGTCATCGATTTCCACGTCATACATTATTTTTAGATTCTTAGATAATTTATAAAGTATAAATAATTTCAAAGATTTGAAAAGTACTAAATTCTATTATTAAAAATAAACCATAGAAATACAGAATAGGTAAATTACTGTAGTTTTACCTATTCTGTGATATAGAACTGTTTATAAATATGTTATGAATTTATTACAAAAACATTTAAAAATGTTAACAAAAAAACGATCTATTGGATTCAAATGTAATCTTACATCCTTAAACTCCGGCAATGATGTATTTTAAATAGGTACTTACATAGATCGTGATAATAATAATTGTAATTAACATAGACCATCTCTCGCAATTCTTGTGCTGAAGAAACATACAATTCCGGTTCGGGCCCACAATAATTATTTTTAATATATCTCCTCGTGCACATTGCTAAACAACAATCATCAGCGACACCTCTTTTAATTATGGGATTGGAATTAGTTTGGGGAGTAGGGGGGTTACTATCTGAAAATGAAAGCAAATCATTAGTCAAGACAAAATTGGTTATGAATTTAATAATCCTAACTTCATATAATATAATATACTTATTATAAATTAACTCGATTATTGGGTTACCATTTACCACGTAACCTATACATTACATTTCTTAAAATTACATTTTATTCAATTTTAAAGTGGTCCTTATAACAAAATAAAATTTATTGGAAGTGTGTAGAAAGGGAAGCTGGCTAATTATGTAGATGTACAAAAAAATGCTGTTAAAATATAATATAATACCTATTATATTATTTTCCTCTTAAACCAGGTAAAATACGAAAAAAAGGACCTCACTATATGTCCCATAAGCCCAGTACCATAATTTTAACAAATTTAAAAATAGGAATTTATAGTTTTAGGATAGTTGTAACATTTGTTTATCAGAATAAAATTAGATACATTTTTAAAGAAATGTTCCAAGGCAATATTATAGGTGTTACAAATATCAATTTTTCGAAAGAACGTCGTTCACAAATTCAAGTTTACATTCAGCGAACGGCCAGCGCACATCACTCATTTTTTTAAAATTAAACGTGAACATGAACAACGTTAATATTTTAATAAATTTAAACTATTTTTCAGACGATCGTTGTATTTACCACTTAATAAATGCTGTGTCTAGATACCCGGGTGCTCGTGAAAATAAAGTGTACACGAGCACCCATCCGAGTATATATTCGATACCCTGTCAGCTAATGCGAATGGAATTATGCTAATACAGTGATGCCCGCGTAATCACTTCCTCTCTAAGCCGTGTTTGGACAAAAAAAAAAAAAAACGAAAATATCCATCGACTTGCTATGCAACACCATCTCAAGTTATTTTACTGGGTGACCGCTTTATTACACGGACTAAGATAGAGTAGACCGGAAACGATATGACGGGCGGGTGGCAGGGAGCTGGGCCGTAATTAAAAATGTTTGAGTTTCAAATCCTCTCTATCTTAGTCAGTACCGTATCACCCACAGCCTAATATAAACGTATATATGTATCTAAATATAATATACCTTAGTCCGAGGTATTACCAATCTTATCATTTTCTCTTATCACTCACTAACAATCGGATATCGAGACATAGTGTCTAATAAATATATGTTTAAAATATATTGATTAATTATATTATTATAACACAATAATATTTACTTATTATAATTCCTATTATAAGAAAACCAAAAAAATTAAATGAACGACCCAGTGAAAGCATTAATTTTTTTATGAACGGTCTGAACACTTAAAAATACAAATAACAGTATCGTAACCAATTTATACAATAAAAAAAAATAATTGTTATTGTTCAAGGTTGAACTTTGATGTGAATATGTGATATGCCTTAAATAACTTAATCTTTGAAAATATAAAACACTAGTTTTTCAGTTGATAACCCATATCAAACAAAATTATGAAATTCTTGTTTTGTTTTAAGTATAAAATTTCTTAAGAATGAAAGGAGAAGGAGCATCCCGCCCCCAACCCCCATAACAGAGTGTGTGATAGGTATCAAATGCAACGTTTTATACATTTTACGGGAAAATTTCCAAAAACAAACTGTTGTAATTGATAATCAGACACTATAGATAAATTATATTTACTTGTAGCTTCATTGTAGATGCCTCTACAGATTATTGCAAGTTCTGCCGCGAGTTTAGGTCCACACCTCTGTAGCTTACCAGTCCAGTACGTACTATTCTCATCGATAGTCCCCAGAATAAAGTCAATGTGCAGTACCAACAAAATCAATTTCAACTTCATGATTATCTGAAACACACAACATAATATAATATGGACTAAAGGTATAATGTATTAAATTACCTACGATACACAATAAAATAAACACGTATTGATCTTGATCATTGCTTAATTTATTTGTTAGTAAAAAGATTGATAGATATATTATAAATATATTTTAATCACACAAATATTGTACAAATCATTGACTACCTAAAATTGTCAAAATATGATCAAAGATTGACAAAATGAAAAAGTTTTGGGGATAGCTAATTTTTGTAGTAGCTAATCTGAACAATTTTTTTTACTATTTTTAAATACATTGTTAAAGTTTTATTATACTTATTAAAATTGTGGACTATTTTGATATTCTCATTAATTATAATTTATTTATTCTTTAAACATAATATTAAAATAGGTAGAACCTGCTTAGTTATTTTGATTATTACATTAACTGTATCGTACCTTCTGTTCTACTGTATAATTATCTCATCTCAATAATGTAATTTTTATGAGATAATCGAATGTTTTATTTTGCAATAATCAATTCAAATAGTTTTAATGAAAAGTGATTTTTTTTAGTTTATGAATAATGAAAAAAACTACTGAGTAAGAAAAAATGTCATACGGGGTACCAAAATATGAAAGTCACTGTTGGTACGTAATTAGACTTACTTACACAAGTTTATGCAGTTGTTAGGTTAATTCATTGGATAAATATTAGGAAAGTAGTTCTATACTTCTACGTCATACTGTTTATTGTAGGTATTAATAATAATTTAACATTAATTAAAAGATGACTTCGCTATAATTTTCGTTTGGAATTTACATAAGTAGGTACCTAATTAACGTATATCTTTATTTCTGAATGAAAGTATATATATTGTATTTAAATAAAAAAAAAAATTACTACAATATTTAACTAGATACCTAACTAAATAAAAATGAGTATTCAAATTTAATGACGATGATTATTTTTTTATCAATAAAACAAACATATCCTGAATTAATTTTATACTAAATGAGACCGATTAATGTATTCAACAATCAACAAGTAAATAATCCGTGAATAGTGGACAAAACGCATAACATACCTTACTAATGAAAACTGGCCGTGGAGGACACCTATAGTCGACTTAGTTTATCCGGTGCAAGAGTAACAATAGTTGTACGAACACTGCAGCTAAACTGAATTATGCCGCAGTCAGCGGGTCCTACCTTCTTATATTAAAGTGTGATAGGCAGAAAAGGTAGAGAATAGGTGGGGTTTGGGAAGACTGTATTTACGATTAAGATAACAAAAGGATATTAGGTAGGCGCACCGGAATGTTCCACCCATATTTGATTCCTACAGACCATTAAAGTCTTTTAAATGAATATTTGTATTTTATCAAATTTTTACTTGTACGTATAATATCACCACATATTTGTAAGTCATAATTAATTTTATTCGGTAAGTACCTAACAATAAAATGGTATACAAATGGTATTATAATTTTAAAATTCTGTTTTAAAATGTATTATATTGTTTTTTTCATGGTGAGTAACTGAGGTTGAGAAAGCCTGTTTTTTTTTTATTTTTTATAACTCCGAGTACCATGCTCGAACCCATCTTTTATGAACTTCTCAAAGTCATAATCAATACAATTGAATTTTGCTCTAGCGGTGTTTAAAAAAATGAAAACACATAATGATCCAATAAATTAACAGTAGCACAATATAAATCATGCTAATATGTTTTAATATCTAAGTAATAAATTAAATAGATTATTGGTATTTTAATTGTAACTGTTTCAGGTTTTTTATAATATGGCGTTAACGTTTAGAAATATGGTATTGTTAAGGGATGAAAAAATCCAAGGACAAGTAGAGTTTATAACTTATTCGATTACTGCGTGTTTAATAAATTTCCACAAGGCCTACTACGAACGTAAAAATATTATATAAACCCTTGGTATATAAATATAAATATAAATATATACGACAAGTAGCCGTATTATCAAGGCCAAATACAGACAAACAGCATTCGGTTTCATGGTGACGACCGGTATGGCAGTGAGAGGGAGGGACTCCGCCTATTGTGAACGTATTAATACACGTAGTGGCAAGCAATGTTGTAGCCCCTATAATAGAGAGATTTTGGGTGGTCCCCGGTTTTTGGAAAGAGCAATCATTGAAGATACACAATAGAGCTCACATGTAGAAAAACCGTACAATGTACTTATGTTGTCAGTGAGGGGATGACTCGATCGACCTGCAGCTGCCTTCCAGGTGGCTATTTTAGAAACCCAATAATATGCATTATTCTGCTTACGGGAGGAATTCAAAATTATACATGCTATACACATTTGGCGTTGGATTTTATTATGAATTGTATAAAAAAATTGACATATACATTATTTTATCATAATATCCGTCATATGCGTGGGTACGGGGGTGGCGATTGAATTGCAAGTGTTTCAAATCAATCTGATTTCATATGTTTATTCTGTTATCAGAACTTTTAATTTTCATTGTTTGTTTAGAATAATTTACACTCTTAATAAATAAGCGAAGTCTTCCTTATTTTCTTTCTACAAAATAAAGACGGGAATTAATATGTAAATTAGCAGTAATTTAATACTTCTATGGAGCACATGTTAATAATAAAATATAATGTTTCTTAATTAAAGGAAAATATTTTTTTTTGCTTTTATTGCCATCAAAGTAAATAAATAATTACATATCTGATACCATTTTGTGACTAATATTTTTTGGTTGTGCATGTTTTCCTTAGCTTGTTAAATCAATATTTATTAATTTTATTAATGCATATACTTAATGTTTATTTTGAAAATTTTCGTGGATATTGTTATATATTTTATCAACATATTTTTAATATTTACTTCATATTTAGGTCTTTATTGATAAATTATTGATGGTTTGGAACTGATAGGCTGTAAGGATGGCGATACAAAACCTATGTGCTAATATATATAATTGTTTCATTAACAGAAACGCTGTACGCTGTACCTAACTCCGTGATATTTTACGATGTTCCTATAGTTACCATTGGCGAGCGCACTAGGGGAGGGGAGGAGGTTGGTCGCGCCCCCTCCCCATGGGCCATGGCTATTTTATAACTAATTTAAATATTAGTATTATACTAAATGTAATTTTGATTTTAATTTTACGTCTATATATATATAATATATATATATATATATTATATTTACATTATATACATTTGCAATCAGTAAGTAAAACTAGTACATACAACCCACAGAATTCTGTGTACAAACTATTATTATTTATCATCGATTAGTCAATCATTAATATTAAAACAGGGTCTCTGAAATGAGACCCAAGTCCAGAGATTTGACTCTGATATCAGCAGGTGCTGCTCGTCAAGGGAGACTTTGAGTCTGCGTCGCCTCTTAAAAAAAACCAGCTGCGTAAACCACTACGTTAACTAGTCAGATAATCTCGAGTTAATGGTAAAACCAAAATAATGTTAGAACATATTTATATGACACACATATTTAATATTAATATAATCAACCATTTCGATGTTTAGACATTGTTTTAAAATACAATCAGCAACATCGCATATTCATTTTGTGCGGAATCTTGAAAATGAAAAGGTATACTATAAAGAATCACGAATGGCCGGCTTAGTAACAAGACTTTTACAAACAATATTTGGTAAATTTTAGGATAAATAATCAAATATTCCAAAATTGTTCATCGATTGTGTCATATTTTTACCACATTGTTTTAAACTCGTATAAATAATTGAAAAATGTTACTTTAATTTAAAAAATATGTATATATATATTATAGGTGTATATTTATTTTATTTTGCCACGATTTATTGTATATTTTGAGTGTACGTGCGATAGCGTTTCTTTATTTTATTTCAAGGTTCCAAGACTGCCGATCGACATTAACACCTGCCTGCAGTGCAGAGTATGCGGTACATGCACTCACGCTGTACGCAACCCCTCGTTACCGCACGAAACGGGACACACCTGACCCACACCACATGTAGGAATATCGGCCAAAGAATTAAATTTATCAATCTCTCTCTTTCTCTCTCTCCCTCTCTCCTTCTCCCTTAGTCTCTCTCTCTTTCTTTCTCTCTGTCTCTCTCTGTTTCTCTCTCTCACAACCACACACTCTCCATTGGCTCTGTTCTCTATCGGCTTTTTCGTATCGTTTTCGGACGATCAATCCGGCAGCTGTGACATTATATTTCTATGCTGTTTCAATACCTTATATGGTCGAGGAGGCTACTGGAGCAAATTTCCCAGGATCTAAATTTTAGTGGTAGACAAAATTGTCTTAGATTAACACTTGTCGTACAAGCCGATTATTTCAGATGTACACAAATAAAAACACAGGCTCATCTCGTTAGGGGTGACTTTGGGACCGCGTCTCCCCTTATAAAAAAACCAGCACTTGCAAATAATAATGTATAGAAATATTTTTATTTGAATTGAAAATATATTTGATCGTTTTCATTGTTTATTATTATAAATTTAAGCTCGCAAAATCGAAATCCTATTAATAGTTATCTTGATGGAAATACTATTTTAGTAATATCTAAGACTATAACGTTATCAGTCAAACTGAAGCCCGGCAGTTTCAATCGTAACATGTAATGGAATGGCTTGTTGGAGGGGGGGCGGGGAGAATAACCTGTGTGTTATAGACGCTATTGAACCTGGGCTTATCAAATTAATTTCCGTGCCGCTGAGCCATCATTAATTAGTTCTAGACTTTTTAGTCGATGTTTATTCATTACTTAATAACTATTGCACGATTATTATCCATTTAATATTTATTTCTTTTGACATTTTTATAATTATTAGTTCTTATTTCAAAAATGCAAAAAGGACAAATAATAGAACTTCTACTAACCAGTGGTTTTAATACTTAAACATCGAATAATTGTAATGTATGTTATATGATTGAAGTCTCCCCAAATGCTATTGTAAATCAGCTAATGAGCATATGGTATTATGGTGGTTATTATGTTTTTATGGTAAGCCAATATTCAAAGCTTAGTATTCTGAAAAACAAGTTACGCAGTATCATTGCACGCTTTGATGGCCTGCACACAATACTCATTGAGGAATAACTTTCTTTAATGTAAATACTGACGATGTAATTGATACTTTAAAATGCCCTATTCCAGTGTACAGACTTATGGAGTTATAAATAGTTTAACATAATAATATATATTTTTTAAATATATTTAATTGATTAAATAATAACACATTTTCTTGTAGGTATTATTATTGTTATTTAATACAAGAATCTATGATTAAGATATTTTTTATGTGGGCCCTCACATGTCATGAAACTAACTATTTTAGAGTTTGTCATCGTAATGTCAACTCCGGGATTTATTTAAGGGGTGAAAGTAGACAATTTCTAATATTGTTGTTGCCTGTCCTATGAATGGGTCATAAATCATTATTGTGGATTGGCGTAGCGCTTTGGCTGCAAGCAGTCGCGGAATGCGACTCTGAGTAAGAAACGGCCACAGCTACTAGCTCCCGGATGGATGAACACCCGGGTTCATAGTAGTTAAAAACCTTGTCATACATACACGTGTTTGCTACCTTCCGTGACAATCATAAAAACAAACCTACCGTATCAACTTTACCCCTAACATAGTTCATAACCCTTCAACAGCTAATGGCCTTAGTCGCCGGGCTTAAGTTCAATTAAAATAAATCATTATTTTTATGAGTGGAGTTAATGGAAATACCGTACTTAATAGGCACAATTAAGTAAATACGCTGGGGGGCTTAGCCTTCCCCCAGTTTTTTAATCATATTTCAGTTTAAACATCAATTATCAGGATCTGTGCTGCTGATACAATTCTAGCCACCCCCAGAAAAATGTTCATAGCTGCAACTTTAAATATACATATATTTGATTATTTCAATTAATTAATTTTTACATCGATTAATCGGTTTGTTCGATACATTTTTATAAATATTCACCATCGATTAATAGAAAATTAATCGACTTATCTATGTATTGACTGCAAATCATAGGTTCAGGGGCGGCTCACTCCCAAGCCCAATTTCTAAAACCTTTATACTGTTAGAAACAAAATTTTAAAAAAAACCTATTATTATGATATCTAAAGTTTTCTGAAAATTATGACTTATTCCCCCCCC